ACGCTGAAACACACCCACGTACTGTAGATGCTCTCTCACACACACACACACACACACACACACACACAAGCGCACACACACACGCACACACACACACACGCTCCACAGTGTAAGCCTCTTTAGTTTCTATCCTGCATCCAGACTGCAAATGACAACATTTGAAAACTTTTGTCCATAAACAGTTTCAGTTGTTTTATGACCCCAGATGGGAAATTAACCATAACACAACAACAATGCAAATAAATGAATGAGGAAGAAGCTAAAATAGGATGCTTTGTGCAGATAAGATGCTAAAAGCCTATTACATGTGCAAATGAAGCAGGGACATTGCACAAGGAACAAAGGAGGTTTTACTCCTTTAGCACGTCAAATGTCACGAAAAGAGTGAAAATCACAATATGTTCAATATTTTACAGCCTCGACCATCAACTTGTCTGATAAACAGTCGAAGATCTGAACAGAGAGACAGAGAGAGGCAGCAAATCCTCACTTCTGAGGAGCTGGAAGCAGCGTGTGGCATTTTTACTGATTGTTGCACTAAAATCCTCAAAAGTCACACACACACACACACACACACACACTTTAGGTCGTGTGCTGCAAGAAGAATAAAAGCTGCAAAAACATGAACAAAGGAGAAGAAAGGAGAAGAAAGAAAGAAGAGAGAAACAAGTAAAAAATGGACAGACAGGAGGAGGAAGAGTGAAGGAACAAAAAGAAACTACAAAGAAAGAAAATCTGTCCGTTTGCGTCTCTTACCGTCCTCAACCATCGCATTCTCCGTTAGCTGCATGCTGCCACTCGTCTCTCAGCTGTTTCCCTCCTCCCTCCTTCTCTCATTCACTCTCCCTCTCTCTCTCTCTTGATCTCTCTCTGCTCCTCCTCTACCTCCTCCTCCGCCGCCACCTCCTCCTCCTGCTCTCAGCTCCGTCAGACTGAAGAAAAGAGCGAGCGAGACTGATCCTAAAAGACGGGGCGACGCGTTAACTAATCCCCACACAGAGGCCCGCCCCCTCGGCCAATCAGGAGGCAGCGAGGGAGGGGAGGGGGACGGGCTGCACGAGAGGAAGAAAGGAAAAGAAAGAAAAGGCAGAAGGAGGGAGGAGGAGTTACCTCTGTGGTATATCCCTTCCTTCTGGGACAGCACACGCTCACACAGCAGCCAGGCAGCGAGCGCTACATCAACAGGTCCAACTGAACCAGAGTCTTTATTTCAGCCACAAACCTTAAACTGCACACCGACTGCAATCCAACCGTCTGTGGGTCACTGTTCAGTCTTTATCCTTTCTGTCAGTTTATAAACAGTCAGAAAACTGTCAGAAATGTCTTATTCTGTCCAACAAACTGTCCAAAACTTCAATTCACAACAAAGAAAAGCAGCAGAGCCTCACATTTGAGCTGCAGCTAAAAGAAATTGTGCTATTTTTGCCACAAAAAGCGAACACTCATCCAGTCCACTCAGAAACATTACCCACTGAGTCCAACTAGTTCATTTTCTTCCACTAAAACTAAACTTAAAACAACATTTTCCCCTGAGAAATCCATCACTTCACCCACATGCAAATGTGTGTAATTAGTTCTTCTACGATCATCCCCATCTGACCTTCAGACTATAAAAAAAGCAGCAACTTTTGAAGAGACAGCTGTAAGAAGACGAAGACGAAGAATAGACTTTAATGCAGGTTCTGGAGTAAACTCTGTTGTCTCCAACCTGGACGAGGTTTCCATCGTGGCTCTTTAATCACACATACGGACTGCTGCTTTCTGCATCTTTTGGCCCATTTATTAAAGAGAGATCGGGCATATTTAGCATTCCAACTGTTTTCCTGTTTATTTAATGCTTTTAAAGTTAGTTAAAACATTAACTGTCTCCAGTTGAATTCATCCCTCTGCAGGTGAGTGCAGTCATGCAGGAGCAGCTCTTATGATCTGGTGCTCAGGTTGGACCACTGTAGAGCCGCCTCATAGATCATGATTAACAATAACACTTACCCGATATGTACAGCAAGGTGGAAAAGCCCATTTACAGATATCGAAATCGACGTTAAATTCTGACAAAAAGCCTTCACATCTGCTTTCAAACCATTAACGTGGACAGCAGGATTTTAAAAACACCCTAATGATGGGACTGATGGAGCCTAACGAGCGATCAGCTGATATCGAAGTTAAAGGCACATCTGCTGCTGTTATTGTCCCCCACGGCTCAGTGCTGTTGTGTAATAATGCAGAGCAGACACACGTGTAAAACCTGCACCACGTCATCAAAATATCACACAATCAGGACAGAGCAGACGATTGGCCACGTCGGGGCGAGTCTGAAGCCTGTGTGAGCGGATCTCCCTGAAACTAAAACACAACTCAGGTATGACCGCTGATTCTGCACAGAGAGACACACACACACACACACACACACACACACACACACACACACACACCCACAACACACACA